CCAAGATCCTTTTCTGCCTCTATGCTGATGAGAAGGGAGTTCCCCGGCCTGTAGGTATGGCGCTCGTTCTTCCTCCCCAGATGCAATACTGTCAGTATTGAAACCCATCCTATTCTCATCCACCTACCCTTGTAACCTGTCCAGATCTAGTTGTAGCCTGTCCCTCCTTTCTATCTTGCCCACTTTTCCCCACAATTTAGTGACATCGACAAACTTGAACAAGGTGCTTTTCACCCCCTTGTCCAAGTCACTGATGAACATGTTCAACAGTGCAGGCCTGAGGACTGAGCCCTGCGGAACCCCATTTGCCACATCCCTCCAGGTTGAAAATGAGCTGTCCACCACCACTCTCTGGGCGCGGCCCTCCAGCCAATTTGCTACCCATCTGACTGTGTAGGCATTGATGCCACAGTCGCCTAATTTTTTGATGAGAATGGGGAGAGAGACAGTGTCGAAGGCCTTCCTAAAGTCCAGAAAGACTACATCCACCATGACACCTACGTCCAAGGATTTTGTGACCTGGTTGTAGAAGGCAACCAGGTTGGTCTGATAGGACCTTCCCCTAATGAACCTATGTTAGTTGCCTCTAAGCATAATCTCCCCTGCTGGTCCCTCACAGATGTGTTTTTAGATAATTTTCTCAAAGAGCTTCCCCACCACTGAGGTAAGACTAACAGGTCTATAGTTTCCTGGGTCCTCCTTCCTCCCCTTTTTGAAAATGGGTACCACGTTGGCCCTTTTCCAATTCTCTGGCACCTCACCAGAGCATCATGAGTGCTCGTACAGATGTGCCAGGGGTCCTGCAATGGCCTCTGCCAATTCCTTCAGCACATGTCATGAGAGACAGTATCCAAGGGCCTACTAAAATCAAGTCCTGCCATTCCTTACATCTTTATATATCAGGATTGATTTCAGAGAGCTGGAGAATATTACTTCTTTTCCTTGATGTCTTCACCATTAACAAAATGAATGGAATATTTATAACCTATTTTTCCGAAAACCTACAATGACTAACCGGTATTTTGGTTACAATTCCAGTGGATCAATATGTGGAGAGCAATGCAAATACAGGTTTTGTAAAACTTTTCTTCTCCAAGTCTTGTATAGGCTAACAAGAGCATACCCAAACAGCATACTGTTGGCAATTTTTTCAGAAGTTATATTTAAAGTTAAGAAAGATTAAGAATGAAACGGTCAGAAAAGTCAGCAAACACAGGGTAAATAGCAATTATGAATGAAGCAGAGGAGGATTATTTATCCTTCTGAGTGCTGGTTAGCTGGATAGTTGGCAGTTCTGGGGCAGATCTCTCTCTTTCTCAAACATAAGCTTGTGGTAAAAAATGAAATTTCTATATAAGAGCGAAATTTGCTTTTGAACCCTCAACGTGTTCATAGATTTCATAGACATTAGGGCTGGAAGGGACCTCAGAAGATCATTGAGTCCAGCCCCCCACCCAAAAAGCAGGAAGTCAGCTGGGGTCATAGGATCCCAGCAAGATAAGCATCCATTTTGTTCTTGAAGGTGTTCAATGTAAGTGC